TCACCTACAATTTTCAGGCTTGTCTAGTTTATATCGCTACGTCGATGGCGTAAGCGTAACATTTTACAGTACCTTCATCCATTTTTATTAAAATATGCGGAAGTATTATTTATATAAATTTCTATTCAGAAAGGAAAGTCATAAAAATATTGCAAAGAAAAAAGTGGCATTCACTGTGGAATGAAATTAACAATCGTCATTGTATGTAAATATGATTGCAGTAGTTATCATTTATTGCAATGGAGAATTTTTAACGTTTATGACATTCATTTCGCGTTTATTGCCCGCTATAAACCTTGTGATATTTGTTTTTATTAAAACCTCCCCCGACAATCGTATTAGATACAGAGACGTTAGGTATATGAAGTCAGATTTATGATTGTGATATTCATGGTTAATGTAGAAGTTATTTTTGTTATTGCCTTTAGTCCCACTAATAATTAGATAGCTATTATCATAAAACGGGCAATTTAATATTTATAATAATTAATGTAATCACGTATACGTAACGATTACCCATGTTCTGATTGGTCAACTTTAGATTTTTCTTGTTACAGTTCCTCATTCTTTAGTTTATTTAAAATGGTATAAATATCTTAGGTATTTCTCGTAACAAATGTAAACTGTAATTTTTCCAAACGTTGGCTTTAATTTCAAAATGAGTATAAAATTTTCTAAACGACTATTGTAATTACATTATATTGCAGCGTCCATTACAAGAACAAATTGTTCATTTGGTGCGAATAGTCCGTTAACGTTTTTAGTGAGTCATTTTGTAACAGATTTTGAAAAGTTATCTAAAGCTAGCACCTTTTAATCGAACTTTAATTATCCACAAACTAATCTCAAAGCTTCATTATCGAAACGGCACATCTAAAATCATAAAACTAGATTTTATAGACTCTGCAGACTGGCGTAAAACTACGTACATATATCCATTGAATGTAACTGTGGTTATTTACAGCCAGATGCACTAATTTGCTTCTTTTTATTAAGGACGATTTTATGATATTGCAGCGTGTTATTAACATACTTTTTGAAACAAGAGTGCATCGTTTTATAGTACAAGGAAAATCCTTTTATAGTTTATCCTTTCCTGAAGTTTTATACGAAATCGTTTTTAAATGATACTTATTTTTAATTAAACTTCAAAGAAGATATTCCTGGACATTTAATTACGAATACTCGCTTTGTAAACTTTTAATACACATAAAATATTATTTCATTCATTTAAAAAAACATACCAGAAAATGTTCACAGCAAGAGCCACGGTTCTTAGCGTGAATATTTTCGTGCATTAATTTTGTAGCGGTAAGTTGTTTTAATTAATTAGTTTAATTAACTATGTACATGTCCAGAACCTGTAATCCTACAGGAAGTAGCGTGGTGGCTGAATAGGTAGAATAGCAGGTAAGGCGGAGGGTATTAATAACGTAGAAAGAAAATAACATGACGAGGCCTATTAATGCAAGAATTATGAAGGAAATTTCTCTTTAATGACTAATGACTAGGTACTGCAAACCCATTCCACCCTTGAATAAAGCAACCCCACACGGGGTCTTACCATTATTGGAAATATTTAATTAACAATAGAATAACTTATTTTCGGAACTGAACTTCTAAAAGTTTTTTTTTTTATATTTTCAGTATGTTTGAATTTATGCTTTTTTTTAGATGTAAGTGGTGATAAAATTTTAATAAGTTGTTTGTGTCGAGAGTGATTTCAGGTCAAGTTTTAAGTTCATAAGCTAAAAACTTTTACTCTGAGTACTTTGTATTGTGTTTACCCTATTTTTTCGACTGTAATAATAGGCTTAACCCTGTGAGGGTGCAAATACTATGAAACATACTTCTAATGCATGTAAAGTATAAGATTTGTTCTATTCCTTCGAAAGTCGTCGCGTGACTTAAAGTTGTTACGAGTTTTCTAATAATTTTGACGAATTACCCGTAGTGTTTGATTTTTGTTTATGTTCATTAACGATACAATAGGCACAACTAAATGTGTTTTTGATGATTTGTATCAGGTTTTCAACTTCTACAGCGTTGATTCAATCAATACGCATATTAATGCAGACGCTGTAACTCAAGCAGAATATACTGACAATTGTTTTCAACTAACTAACTAAAAGGAAAAGAATCTCGGTCGCGTGCTATTTTAAGTATCTTTCTATTAAACATTGTACATGTTGTAACTCGAGCCTGTAAGTTTCCGCAAACGAAAATCGAACAATGGTTTCTCCACATCTGCAATTCAGGAAGCGCATTTTCATGAGAGCTATTCAACGAGAGCGCACTACTACTACATGATTCCCGAATGCTTCAATTCTTGCTTAGGGTTGCACTGACAGCATTCGTCCCTTAACTGAAGAATTGAAAGAATTTTCTATTGTTTGCGTATTTAGCTTATCCGCCGTAATCCCTTTCTATTGGTCGACAAACATCCCGTTTCTATTTACAGAAGTCGTTATTCTCTGTTTGCTGCTTAAAGAATGAACTTTAGTCACATTTATCGTGACATAAGTCTGTCTCTTTATTTGTTTGCATGTAGGGAAGCGTTAGAGTTCCGTGAATATGAGACCTACATACGTAAAGATGCAAGAAACTAAATCCTCTTGGGAACCTACTATTATTTCGCTATTGAAAAATATTGTGTTAAGTGTAGTACACTTACATTTAAAAATACTAATATTTAATATAAAATTTATATTGATTGATCATTTTTCTAGTCATAAAAATCCATATATCATGAAGCTGTGTCAGATTCCAAACTGGATTAAGATTTTTCTGCACCTATCAAAACGTTTGTGTGTTATTTAAAAACAAAATTTGTGTAATATGGAAAAAGAATGATTAAAATATATATTATCTAGGAGTAATTATTATACCATGGGAAAATAGGACCAGACAATCGTAAACCTATTGTTCTGTCATCTTTATAGAACTAACTTTTCTTTAAGAGTATAATAATAACAGCAGGAAATCCCCTTTTGATTTAATACTCGAGATATGGTTATTGTCCATATTGCACAGTTCAGTTTTGACGTGAAGGAAATTTCGAGACCGTAGCCCTAAAATCCATTAGCGATAATGATTTTGTACTCCTCTAATGAACATGCCGTATTAGTTATTGAAAGTTTTAGTAGAGAGATAGAAGACAATCTGCCAGAACGAATAGAGGGTGTGTATAGTATACGTAGGAGAACAGAACAGGGCAAAGGTCGATCTTCCGTTTATACATCGTAATTGCCATGGGTCCGTCAAAGATAAATAGAGCTCAGCCTGTAATTCGAGGTTATGCTCGCCTTGACAGCTGACAGCCGCACTCCATTAATTATTATATATCTAATACGGGGAGAACCCATTACTCACTAAGGGTTGCTAGTGATGATACGTACACACCGCCCTAGGCGCAAGCACAACATCACTGCGACTGGTGGTGCTGTGACGTTGCTGTTGCTCATCAATCGAAGGATTCGGCAGCAACGTCATCAAGGCTGGAGGTGACGAGAGATAGGGCTTTATCCTCTTCGTGAGCTTACCCGTAATCGTGTCAAGCGGTCAGTGTAATAGCCAAATAATAGATTATTTTTTCAAGTAAAATGCAGTAGGAAGCTCTGTCCTATTATTTCGTCTTCGGTCAAACCGCCTATCTCGTAAAGTTCTTGAGATAAGCCATAATCAACTCTGTATGCTGCATGACATACGTTCCAACTTATTTGCCTGTTGCAATATGAGGCAGTATAACGTACCGTGCAATGTGTGACTTGGATTTCATAAGTTTAAAGCTTGAAGTCCAGTTTGATATTAACAACAATAAAAGTTTTTTAAAACGATTTCAATTATCGTACGCTGTATATTTAATATCTAATACACATGAGTATAATTGACCTATAATAAAAAGACTTTTTGTGTGTAGGACTTTTATAACACCATACATTCAATTAACACTGGTAAAACGCCTTTCCAAAACACAATTATATTTGTTCTTCGATGCACATACATATGTATAAGGTTGTATTTTTCAACTGGTTCCAAGTACATGTGTATATCATTCCGGTAATCAGCCTTCAGACAAGAATTTACACCTGCATCAAACAAAGGCGATGAAAAGTGTCCCATTGCGGTGACTGATACATATATTTGAATAGATCAGTTTCAATCTTTAAAAGTCATTGTAAAACTGAAGCACTCATAAAGCACAAACCATTGCAACATGCATCTAATTGTAGGACACTCGAACCCTTTCACTATTATCTTACAATAGTTGTTTCCTAATTAAAGCGAAATGTCAAATGTGTAAAATTCTGAACTATAGGTATCATTTCTATTTTACATTAAATTCAAAAATATTAGATTTAGGATTGTCAAAGTTTAAAAAAAGTTCAGGAACACACTTTCTGGTTTTGAAGATTCTGGATGCTATAGTTTGAATACAAACTACTAAATGACTAAATTTTTTATAGCTATAGAAGCCTCTCATAATCTTAGTCTGCAAGAAACAATTTGTTAAAAAAATGCAAAACCATTACTTATATAAAATATTTTATTGGTAGTTTTCGTTGTTAATTTATAATAACTGATATTTAAATAATATCGTATTTCTATTCGACATGATCCCCGGTTAAAATGCAAATTAATGTAATCACGGCGTCATAGAGCGGCCCTAGGTGGCATGTTGAATTATAGCACACATCGATTATAAACCCGACACTGCTAGTTCCTGTTCCAAATTATTTCCTCGCAATTATTCTGAGGGAGGCGACGGATGTGGGAGTAGTTCTGAACCCTATTTGGCTTTCGAAAATGACACTTAATTATGTCTCTTATACCGCTGCAGCTCTCATAATAATTCAGGTGTCAGATAGTTTCTTTAGCCCTCCGAGGGATCACCTTCGAGACTGAAATTAATCGGTTTAACTGCGATAACAGAAGTAACTATGTATTAGGGCTGTAGAACTCAGGGTTAAATTTGTCTTTTACAAGTACCTACCTACATGTTCTTTCATATAACCATTCCTGAATGAAAAATTAATTGAATTCATACCAGTTTCACTGGCACTCATATACAAAATGGTAGAAAAGATGAAAGTAGAAGAAAAATGTAGCCCATAAGTTTGTATTAATGAATTTGACAAAAACTGTTCAGTGTAAAATTTATGGTTATCAAGTGGCCATTTTATTAGAAATTATTGCGAGTGAAAGTCAAATTCAGTTTGAATTTTTTAGTGGAAATTACAAAATTGATACAGTTATATTTATCACGATGCGAGAAGTAATATCAATTCACACTGGGCAAGCCGGCGTGCAAATTGGAAATGCCTGTTGGGAATTGTACTGCCTGGAACATGCAATTCAGCCTAATGGACAGATGTATCCCGAAGTTGAAATCCACGGCGGTGGCGATTGTTACACCACATTCTTTAGCGATACTGGCGCAGGCAAACGTGTCCCGAGAGCGATCTTCGTAGACTTGGAACCTACGGTTATCGACGAAGTTAGAGTGGGAACGTACTCCAAATTATTTCATCCGGATCAGCTTTTGAGCGGCAAGGAAGACGCATCGAACAATTACGCTCGTGGACATTTCACGTTGGGATCGGAAATAATCGATTTCGTCATGGATCGCATTCGTAAATTAGCAAACCAATGTGAAGGCCTGCAAGGCTTTCTGATTTTCCACTCGTTTGGAGGCGGTACAGGTTCTGGATTTGCATCTTTGCTAATGGAAAGAATAACTGCAGATTATGGTAAAAAGTCCAAATTAGAAATTGCTATTTATCCTTCTCCGCGGATTTCAACCGTTGTCGTCGAACCGTACAACTCAATTTTTACAACACACAGCACTCTAGAACACTCGGATGCCGCTTTCATGGTCGATAACGAGGCTATTTACGATCTCTGCCAAAGAAATTTGTCGATTAAACGTCCAACATACACCAATTTGAACAGACTGCTTGGACAAGTCGTCTCGTCAATAACAGCCTCGCTTCGTTTCGATGGCGCTTTGAATGTTGATCTGACGGAATTCCAAACTAACTTGGTGCCCTACCCTCGCATCCATTTCCCATTAATTACATATGCACCGATTACATCGGTTGATAAGGCATTTCACGAACAATTAACTGTTTCTGAAATTACGTACAATTGCTTCGAACCGGTTAATCAGATGGTAAAGTGCGACCCACGTAATGGAAAGTACATGGCATGTTGTGTGTTATATCGTGGGGATGTCGTTCCTAAAGATGTCTCTTTTGCTATCGGAGCAATTAAAACTAAGCGGAGCGTCCGCTTCGTAGACTGGTGTCCAACAGGATTTAAAGTTGGTATCAACTGCGAACCGCCAGCTTTTATTCCTGGTGGCGACTTGGCCAAAGTGCAAAGGTCGGTCTGCATGTTGTCAAACACAACGGCCATCTCAGAGGCCTGGTCGCGTTTAGATCGGAAGTTCGATTTGTTGTATTCTAAGCGTGCATTCGTCCATTGGTATCTCCGCGAAGGAATGGAACAGTGCGAATTTTTGGAAGCACGAGAAAATTTAGCCGCTTTAGAAAAAGATTTTGAAGAAATTGAATCGGACTATTTAACATCAGAATTTTGTGAAGATGAAATATGAAATTTAGGATACATAAGAACGTATGGGGAATACAGTTCATATTTTTAAGTGTGTCGGTGTGTATGTAAGAAGCTGTCTTGTGTGATAAATCAGATCAGTGAAATAATTTTATTAGTTTGTAGTTCTTCAGGAATAATAGTAATAATAAAAGCGTTACTTAATTAGTTTTTAACTTAATTTAACGCTCTCACGAACTACGTAATAATTGAGTCTAAATATGGTTCAAACCTATTAGATGTAAACATTTAGAGTACTTTTAATGGATTTTCATTTATTATGGAGGATTCCTTTGCTAGCCGTTTTTTCTTTAACCTTAAACAAAAATGCTTTCGAATATCGACCCAAAAGTGTTACTTTCAAGTACAATGAGCACTGCAGATTATACATAAGTATGTAAAAGACTTTGTCAAGGTGGCCGTTTTCGTTTTCGAAAAATAACGGCGGGTCGTTGCTAGGAAATGTTTGTTATTGTCGAGTTATAGGTTTTCGGGGGTGTTTATTTTTTTTTTTGTAATTTAAACATTTTCGGCTTTGGTTTCGTTTGATATTGGGGTTAGTCAATATGCGCGAAGTAATTTCTGTACACACTGGACAAGCTGGGATACAAATTGGAAATGCCTGTTGGGAACTTTATTGTTTGGAACATGGGATCCAACCCGATGGTCAAATGCCCTCTGACAAGTGCGCTGGAGGAGGCGATGACAGTTTCACCACGTTCTTTAGTGAAACAGGAGCTGGCAAATACGTCCCAAGGGCTGTATTTCTAGACCTGGAGCCTACAGTTATTGATGAAGTAAGAACTGGAACGTACAGACAGTTGTTTCACCCGGATCAGTTGTTATCCGGCAAAGAAGACGCCGCAAATAATTATGCACGAGGACATTATACTATTGGGAAAGAAATTGTCGATTTGGTACTAGACAGAATTCGTAAAGGAGCAGATCAATGTTGCGGTCTTCAGGGATTTTTGATATTTCATTCGTTCGGAGGTGGTACAGGTTCGGGATTTACCTCTTTATTAATGGAAAGATTGTCGGTTGACTATGGAAAAAAATCCAAGTTAGAATTCGTTGTTTATCCTGCTCCACAAATATCGACCGCTATGGTAGAACCGTACAACGCAGTGTTGACGACTCACACCACGCTTGAACATTCCGACGCTGCCTTCATGGTTGACAACGAAGCTATCTACGACATATGTCGGAGAAATTTAGACATCGAACGACCGACGTACACAAATCTGAATAGGCTAATCGGTCAGGTTGTGTCGTCGGTAACAGCGTCTCTGCGGTTCGACGGGGCACTTAATGTAGATTTATTAGGATTCCAAACAAATCTGGTCCCATATCCTCGCATTCATTTTCCATTGGTCACATACGCGCCCATTATCTCAGCGGAAAAAGCCTATCACGAACAATTATCGGTCTCTCAAATTACGAATGCCTGTTTCGAACCTGCAAATCAGATGGTTAAATGCGACCCTCGACACGGAAAATATATGTCATGTTGTATGCTGTACCGTGGGGATGTTGTTCCTAAAGACGTAAGTGCAGCAATAGGAGCCATCAAATCAAAACGTACTATTCAATTTGTGGATTGGTGTCCAACTGGGTTCAAATTGGGTATCAACTATCAGCCTCCGACTGTAGTTCCTGGAGGCGACTTAGCCAAAGTACAGAGAGCCGTGTGCATGATGTCTAACACCACTGCTATTGCCGAGGCTTGGGCTCGCTTGGATCACAAATTTGATTTGATGTACGCCAAAAGGGCTTTCGTTCATTGGTATGTCGGCGAAGGGATGGAAGAGGGCGAATTTTCGGAAGCTCGAGAAGACATGGCAGCTCTCGAAAAGGATTTTGAAGAAGTTGGGATGGATTCGGCAGAAGGGGAAGGGGAGGGTGGTGAAGAGTAAAAATTAAGATAAATCATTTCAGCAGGGTGTCTAAGCTTGTTTTAGTTTATTTGTTAAAACCAATGTCTGGAGGAAATCTGGATATTTTAGGTGCGGGTTTAAACAAAATTTGGACTTCGTTAAAACATTAGGTACCAGGGAGAGGTGGAGTTAATGTAAAGGTTGTCACAATATTATTAGTATTAGAAATAAAAACGTATTGCCTATTTTGTTGTGACTGATAATTTTTAAAAATAATTTCTCGTGAGTTGACGCTTTTAGTTAAATTGCCGATTATTACAAAATGTAGAAGCTATATATATTTACTTTTTTATGGGTATCGTTCGTAGCTGGCATTTGCCTGCAGTTTCTGTTATAAAAATAAATTTATGATTACATTATAAACACCTAAAAGAGCTAATCGACCACAAACATCCATAAATCACTGTAATATTACTTGGAAGAAGAAATTAAGGTTCTCTACTGTAACGCACCAGCTTGAAAATATCGCTATAATAAAGCACTGTTTTCCTTCACTTTCATGTGAACTCGCCGAATTTATGAATGCAATTTTACATTTCCTTTTTATATTTCAGAGAAAACTTTTCAAAAATCAGCATTTATTTTCGAAATTTGTTGAAGCTACCTACATAACGTATCCAATGAAACAATCTGCTGAGTTTCTGGATCTTTAGATCTGTTATTTGTTCCTCTCTAAATCTACTTTTATTGATCATAATTTTAATCCTCGTAGATTTATATTTCTAGTGGTTCTTTTTGCAGCTTGCTGAAGAATGATACATTAATTTTCTCAAAAATGTTATTGACCATTTATTGGAATCCTTTGCGACTCTTTAGAAAATTTCGAAACGCCATAAACATAATTTAAAGCGATAGCAATAAATTTTATCAAGTCATTACAATTTTAGGGATGAGGCATCCTTAAATTAAACGTATTGCTAAACAGCCAATTACAAAGCAACATGCACATTTTGGTACAAAGTACTGGTAGGTATGCAATTTGTAAATCTGGAAATTTTCTCAAATCGAGTTGTATTAAGTGCATTACCGGTTTCCTCAAACATGAGCAAGTAATGCTAGTAAACTATGCAAAACTGTCATAACATCGCCTCTCAGTATAACAAGTTATGCATCTTCCTTATTACAACCGCGAGGGTTACATTTTCGTGATGCACACAACTTCTTGCCATCGATTCGCTAGATACGTTACATAAACTTGTAATATGAGTTGAAATTCCTAAGAGGAAGCTTCTATACCGTTACGTTTTCTGAGTTTTCTCCGAATTTATCACTTTATGAATTCATATTTTTGTATGAAAGATAAGACACTTTCTTATGTATCTAAAAGAGAAATAAAATTTATGGATTACAAGTGTGTTGTAAATTATTTGTAAAATGATATTAATTTCTTTATTGTCTATAATATTCTTCCATTTAGAAGCAATATAATTATTGTCTACATTGTTTTTATTTATAGGTCTCAGCCAAAGAAATAGCAAAAATGGAACTGCTTCACCATTTCTTCTCCACTATCCAGCTGTAGGTATGTCACAGAACTAAATTTTTTGTATTTGTCCTATTCACAGGAAGTTTTACATGTGCATTTATCTATCTCTTTAAGCGATGTTGCAATTCTATCAAAAGTTTTTCATATTTAATATTGTCTGTTAAAATGAATACACCTCGCATTTTAGAGGATCATCAATTGTAAGAGAAACTGAATCGATTTATAATCAATTTCTGCCTCCTTCTTTGTATACACATGCTTACGAATAAGTTGACAGAAGCTTATCGTCACAAACTCAGTTTCTTTGCCACTTTTGATGGTCAGAGAGTAACCATGAAATATGTACCTAACGTAGATAAATAAACCAAATTATCGCTCTACCGAAAACTTTGAACTATGTCAGACTTTTTGTTAGTAACATAATGTAGAAAGTTAAGTGGTCGATTGTGTTTATTGCGAATCAGTGTCTCACATTATTGAACACGTTTAGTGCAAAAATGGCGCGCTCTCTCCTGGTAGGCACTAATCGTAAATCACGCACATTTGGGACAATCATTTTCCAATTTACGGAACTACTGCTGCAAATGTGGTCTTTTTGTGCTAAACGTCTTAGTAAATCAGGCGTGAAAGAAAGAAAAACTCCGGTTAAATTGCCGTGTGATTTCGTTAAATGTATGAGGGCTTTCGCTCGGAAATTTCTACCTATCGAGAAAGCTCGGCATTCACATCATGACTCGACTCTACAGCTGCGTTACCTACGTAACTTGGACCATTTCGCCAAACGGCGCGCTATTTCGTCAATCTTTATACAAACGGAACAATAGTTTGTAAAAAGAAATTTATTATCTCGCCCTCTTTCGAATACTACGACGGGCGGTAATTAACTGGGGCTTATCGGAACAGAGAAGCGAAATTTTTAGACATTGTTGAAATGCTTCGAAGCGAGCTCGAAAGCCCCTGTGAAATTGGATAATAAAGGGGCGTTTTGTTTCAGCTTGACAAAAGGCTAAACAGTTTTTTCTTTTTTTGATAACGACTGGAGAGTTAAAAATGCTATTTTCGGTAATCGCTAAACTGATATTTTGTTCAAAATCTCTTCGTCATTACATACCTATAAATAAAATTAAAATGTAAAATCGAAGTAACTACCTGTTCTTAAGTTTTTGTGCTTTGATTTTAATTTAAGAAAAATAGACACATTTATGCTTTATAGTCCAATACTTTTAAAGCTTTTACGTCAGTTATAGTTTCTCACCATCAGTTTCAACCTTGACTTGTGCTGGGTGTTTCGTATTCAAAAGCGGAAACTGACAGTACATTATCTGCCGATTACTTCCTAATTTCCTTTGTCGTTATTAATGCTTCGAATATTGCTGACCTTACCGCACATAATTCATGAATAAAGAGTGGTTGATAGGTGTCCATGATGTGTCAGAAATATGAATGATAGTTTTTCCGCGTCATGTATTTAAACAGGATTTGCAGTACGAAAACCGACGGCAAAATTTAAATTACATCCAGAGAAAATGTATAAATATATAGAATTATTATTATTTTTCTTATTTTAAATTACTCTTGAAGCTTAGATACAAAGGCAACTCCCTTTGAAAAATAATAATTCGATGTTGGATGGTTTCGCACCCTGTAGATAATCCTTAGACCCGCTGACAAATTATGTCTTACGCATAGTTCTACTCTAAATGACTCATAGATCTAGGATACTAAAAATTATTGTGGGACAAGAAAAACTTCTGCTGAAAAATAATAATTCAATGTTAAAGGATTTCGCATCCTACAAATAATTCTCAAACTCGCTGAAAAATTAGGCATAGTCCTATGACTCGTATCAAAAAATTATTGTAGGATAAGAAAAACTATCATTGTAAAAGGATTTCGCATCCTATTCTAATTTTAGGCGGTCTCTACTTGTAAATTTTAAGTCGTTTCTTGTCCTTCGAAGTAGTAAAAAAAAGGATAGATGGAATGCCTGATACGTATAACTTACATGCAAGTAATGTTCTTAATTCTCATCAAACAGATTTGACATTTGAAGATCGTTTCTTAGAAAAGTTACGTTCCTATTATGACTGTTAAAATCGTATCATGCATGTTCTTTTAAGGTAACTATAGTCACATGAGCCTTGACTTTTACGAAAGCATTGCCTATTATTTACACTTTTTCTACAATATGCTTATGTTATGCGTAACCGATATAGATAAGCCTTGAACCAAAAAATGTTCGCAGTGGATCATTAATGTCCGCTGGAATTGCCACCGAATTCGACAGTGATATGAATCTGATTAGTCCTTTTTGACTACCGAACGAAATATATATAGGATAGGTGCCTAGTATATATTTACATCAGATGTTATCTGTTAAAGGTGATTCTAGTTATGCGCAATTCAAACGAAATGGGTCAATTGTGATTCATCTGATCGACTACTTACCATTTTAAGTCAATGAAGGTAGTTCATGTGAAAAAAGAATTATTCATGCGGTCGTAGTTGTTTTGTGTCAACTCATGTCTAATCCATAAATTGCAATTGTAGTAGAACTCGTATACATAATACATACATAATGTAGGTAATACAAACAATACAAATTGATATCTATAGCAATAGAAATTGATATCTATAATTCCACCAATAAAATAATTCGAAGTGGTCTGTATTCTGTCGAAACTGCCAGACGCGGATCGCGATTTCGATCTTTTTGGATCTCATCAGCGCGTCGCAGGCAGCTCCGACAGAACACATACCAACCTTTACCTGCAGTCTTAACAGCGCGTTTTAGAAAATACTACAAATGGCGTGGTGAGCGCCATCTGTAGTACGATGCTGCATTTGAGGATTACGTATGCTCCAACAAGGTCCATTTAAAAATATGGATATCTACTTGTTGAAACGAATCCCGGCGTAGCTCACCTCAACGTGATAGGCACGTTACTATAATCGAACAAAATAATTCGAAGTGGTCTGTATTCTGTCGAAACTGCCAGACGCGGATCGCGATTTCGATCTTTTTGGATCTCATCAGCGCGCCGGAGACAGCTCCGACAGAACACAGACCAACTTTTACCTGCTGTCTTAACAGCGCGTTTTAGAAAATCCTACAAATGGCGAGCAAATGTAATCCTCAAATGTAGCATAGTACCACAGATGGCGCTCACCACGCCATTTGTAGTATTTTCTATAATTTCACCCTTTAGAATCTTTGATGCGACCGGTACAATAAAAATTAACCCTCATTACAAACAATGTATCGAACAAATTAGAGATAATTTTCGTTGTAACTCATGTAAATGGTTAAAATAAACTTGTATTAATTTCTTCGCTATTTGTATAAACGATCTTGTAAATCTCAAAACACATAAGCTCGAACATACCTTCAGTCGCACACTTCCGTGCCTTCAGTGTTATTGTGTAAACTAAAGCCGCGTAATCCAAATTCCGACAAAATGTATAAAGCGAGAAGAAAGGCTCATTAACAGAAAATTACGGGACATAATAGTTCTACCAGGAATGTTAATTTCATTTTCCCCTAACGGGAACGATGGCTGTTTATACGTCAAGTTACGGCAATTCGCTCTGCCATTCTCAGAGAGAGAGAGAGAGTCTGGCAGAATTTAATTTCACTTGTAACATAGACCTTTTAATATCGAGTTGAATTTGTTTCACGAAGGTATTTGGACTCTTCCTACCGCCGCCAGCATA